TGGACATTTTTCAACCCTGTTTTACTGAGTAGTATGTGTCAAAGACAGAACTTGAGAAGTTGTCTTTGGACTCTACATCCACAGAAACATATTCTCTACCAAACTGCCTGGTGATTTGCTTTTAACTCATCTGCAAGTTATTTCTCATGCCTCTTTGCTGGCCTTATCCTTGTTTGTAGAGTCTTTTACTAAGAAGGAATTGTCTACTATGCTTCTACACATGATGTCAGATTAAGTGGGTCTGCAGTGGCTTGCTAAATGGAAAATAAGTCCCTTGTCACTATTAATGAAGAAAACTGCCATCTCTAGCCCACTGGTCTTATGTAAGATAATATATGTTTTCCTCTAATATCTACTCATGCACTTTTAAAAGACTTTTATTGATAAATAATGCATGATACATTTTCCTAGGCAGAGAAAATTCCTAATGGGCCAATTATATCAAAGGCAATTTATATATGTTTTAGGCTACCCAATTCAGTCTAATGTCATTGAGGGTGTATATGGCCAGGGGTAGCACAGAATAAGGATTTGTAAATAAGAGAAAAACAAACATGATAATGTTACTAAGATTTTTAGAAGAATTAATTTTAATATTTTCACCCTTGGTAACAAGAAGAAATTTGGCACATTTTTCTCAAAAACCTAACAAAAATTACAAAAATCTGTTGCAATCCTTTGTAATCCATTGCTAGTTTAGGTCCTGACCACCTCTCCCTCTTTAGTAGGCTAGAACAAGAAGTCTTCTGGATACCAGCCTCTTCCTTCCCACAGAGCCTGGATGCTTTATATGATTGGGCAGAATCATCTTTTTTAAAAAATCACAGCTATGGTCAGGGGCACCTGGGTGGCTCAGTCGGTTAACCGTCTTGACTCCTGATCTCAGCTCAGGTCATGTCATGGTTCGCAAGATTGAGCTCCACACTGGGCTCTGCACTCGCAGCACAGAGCCTGCTTGGGATTCTCTCTCTCTCTCCCTCTCTCAAAATAAATATATAAAACATTAAAAAAAAATCACAGCTATGTGCATTTTGTTCTTCTGCTCAAATACTTTGTCTCTACAGTCTACATATATAAAAAAGTTCTTTCAAATGTCTTAGCAAGGTATTTCAGTCTTTAAATTATCTGAGATTGATATACCTTTCCAACCTTCTATCCCTGATCATAAAGGGCATGCTGAGGAATTTGGAGGAACCAGCACACATTCACATGACAAAGCACAGGATGGACCTGACAAGGAACAAGGCTGTTTGTTTTTTTTTTTAATTTTTTAATGTTTATTTATTTTTGAGAGAGAGAGAGAGACACATACACACAGAGCATGAGCAGGGGAGGGGCAGAGAGAGAGGAGACACAGAATCCGAAGCAGGCTCCAGGCTCTGAGCTGTCAGCACAGAGCCTGACGCGGGGCTTGAACCCACGAGCTGTGAGATCATGATTTGAGCCAAAGTCGGACACCCAACCGACTGAGCCACCCAGGCGCCCCAGGCTGATAAGTTTAATGAGGAGTCATGAGATAGTTTGAATTTCTCACAATGAGAAAGTAAGCCAAGTTTGTAGCTACTTCCGAAGAGAAAGAGTACCTGATTCAAGAGATCTTTCTTTCTTTGTTTTTTTCTTTTTCTTTTTTTAGAGAGAGCAAGAGTGGGAGAAAGTGGGAGAGGGGCAGAGGGAAAGACAGAATCACAAGCAGGCTCAACGCTGGCCATGGAGCCCAATGCAGGGCTCGATCCCACTATCCTGGGATCACGACCTGAGGCGAAATCAAGAGTCTGATCCTCAACCTACTGAGCCACGAAGGCACCCCTCCAGAGATATTTCTAATGCAGATTGAATAAATAATGACATCAGGTAGGATATGAGTGGTGAGGAAGAAAGGGGAATTGAGGATAACATGTAGACTTTTGCTTAGGAAACTGTTGAACCATTAATCAGAGATATAGAAGGCAGAGTGTGCTTCAAACATTGGAAGGGTGAGAAATTTTGTATTAGATCTGCCTCATCTAAGATGTCTATAGGTAGCAATGTGCCTTAGGCAGTCAGAGGTTAAGGATTTGGGAGTCACTGTCATACTGTAGATAGTTAAAGCCAAAGCAGTGGACAGTCCGGCTGTGAAAGATCAGAGAGCCAAGAGGACAAAGGTCGAAATAGCCTTTAGGTGTCCCCCAATTATTTTGTATCCTTTAAAATATTTAAATTCTGCCTGAAGCTAACTGTATACTTGTTAGTCTCTCAACCCTCAGACTATAAGATTTCAGGGAGTTTTAGGGAATGAAAAGCCACTGTTTTATTAGTTCAGGGGAGAGATGGTCAGAATCAGGACCTGCTGCTCAGCCTATGACCATTTAATTCTTGTTTTTAATCTCTAAAGACAACTCATGGTGAGAATCAAGGGGCTTAGGCAAACTGGACCATTTCCAGTAGGTTTAAACAGAACTACATAACCTCCAACTTGTTTTTCTGTTTGTTGTGTTTCGACTATAAAATAATTTCAAGTTCTTCACACTTTTTAAAAAAATTAACACACAGGAAAGGTAAAAAGCTAAATTCACGAAAAACCACTCATCCAAAGGGAAAAAATTATGACTACATCCCTCTGGCTTTTTTTTCTTTCTATGTAGTTTTGGTTAAAAATTTTTCAACCATACTGTACAGTTTCATATCACGATTTTTTCACTTATTATATATTAGCATTTTCCCATGTTACTTAAAATTTATAAATTATTTATTTATTTATTTAAATGTTTGTTTATTTTTGCGAGAGAGACAGAGTGAGAGCAGGGAAAGGGCAGGGAGACAAGGAGACACAGAATCTGAAGCAGGCTCCAGGCTCTGAGGTGTCAGCACAGTGCCTGCCCCACGTGGGGCTCGAACTTGTGAACTGTGAGATCATGACCTCAGCCGAAGTGGGACAGCTTAACTGACTGGGCCACCCAAAGCGCCCCTACAAATTATTTTAAAAAGCCACTTAATATGCATTTAGTGAAGTCGCATTTTTCCTCACTGTTGAGACACCTGGTTGTGCCAACTTTATCTTATCATAAATAACTCTGTGATAAAGGTCTTTATGCATAAAGCATGTTCTTCATTTCCGATGGCTTCTTTAGGATATATTCCCACAAGTATCACTAATGAGTCACATGGAATATATTCAAACGTTTAAAGCCACCCCTCGCTCATCCTCAGCCGCTAGCCCTTCGCACGCGAGTTCCCTACTCCCATTCTCCCCATCCTCTCTGCACTCCTGGGTCTCCTCCCCACTCCCCAACAAGTACTGGCCCCTCCATCTCCCTCTCCGCCCACCCACAGCCTCCCCAAACCAGCTAGGCTTAGGCAGGAACGGACACAACAATACCTTTGGCCTGACTGCCCACAGAAAATAAGACTCCCGGGTCCTGCGGATCTGGAGCCCTGAGCGAATACCGGAAGTATCGGCTCCCAGGCCACTGATAGGTGAGCGGTAACTTGGCAAGCCCTACAATGCCCTCTGTCTATTGGTTAGGGTCCTTCCCTCTGACCAATAAGCTCTGGAACTACCGCACGGATCTCTGGGAATTGTAGTTTCCGTGTAACTCCATCTACAGTAAACCAGCAACAATTTCTCCCTCAAGAAGGGTAGAGCCTTCCCTCACTTCTCGATTCTCTTAGTCTGAGAAGGGGTACAGGATCCCTAGAGTACGGTTTCTTAACTTTGGAGAGGAGATGGGGGTCAGGGGAATGGGAAGGTGTTGAGGACTTCTTTTAAAATGTGATAAAATCTCCCCAGAAAAATGTTCTTATCTGTACACAAAACATTGTGCATTCACTGAAGCCTGTCCATAGACCTGTCCGAGTTACAAACTCCTGTTCTACACTTACTGGCCATAGCCCAGGGACCTAGTGTGACACCAGACTTTAGACCAGCTACACACCTGGAGACTCTGGGCCATGCCGTGGAGTAGCCGATGGGGAATTTCAGATCCTGACCCTCATAGTACAGTTGACCGTCGTCTTTCTTGAACAAAACATCCAGTTTTGGTACTTCAGCGATGCTGATAACCTAAAATCTCTTACCTAAACACCTGGGAGAATGGGGGTGGGGCGGATGGAAGAAGAACACTTCCAGGGCCCACTCTGGCTGCCTTTACTCAGGTTTTTCTCCCCGTGCTTATATTCCAGTGCCATTTATCAGAATCATACTTTCACACTGATTTTTGGAACAATGAGTGAGAGAAAAATTAAAGTTCCATTCATTCTTCAAGCAAATGTTACCTCCTCCAAAGATATCTTTCCAGATTCCTGGGACTCTTTTGGGTGGAGGTGAAGGGTCTGGCGTGGAAGAGGAGCTTAAGTTGTAACTTATTCATTCATTCCACAGCAGGAATCAACCGTGCTGTAACCACCCGTCACAAATTTCGTTCTTTGACGACATGGATTCTACCTCAATTTAACTGTCATCAGCAGGACGCAGTTCTTTGCCTCGAAAGGTGGGAACCTACCTGTGAGTGGGGCAGAACGAGGCGGGAAGCTTGAATGAGGGTTGAGGGTGATTGGGGTAAGGTAATGATTGGTTTCCTCCCACCCTCCCCTCCCCCGCACCTCGCATCCCCAGATTGCTCCTGCAATCCCGGCAAGCCAAGCCAGAGTAGTACGTACTTCTCAGGTGCTTCCATAACGTCCTGAACTCCAAGGCAGTGGGCGTATCTACTTAAAGTGTTGGTTTAGTTGCCGGCTTTCCCCTAGTCTGTGGGACCGGGTTGACTCCCCAGAGCTTAGCACAGAGTAGATGCTAGGTAAATTTGTGTTGAACGGATGGATAGATAGATGGATAAATGGATGGATGGATAGATGGGTGGGTGGATGCGCGCGTGTCTCATGTCTCCCTCACCATCCTCCCCAGTTAACGACCCTTAGCCTGGCAAGCTCGGGAGCAGCCGCTTCAGGGTCCCTTCCCCCGGGCCCCGCCCCAGCCGACCCCACCTTTCGGCGCCGCTCCGCCCCGCCGCCCCCTTCCCCGTGGCCCCTCCCCGCGCAGGTCCCGACTCCCGCCGCACCTCCTCCGGCTCTGCAGTGGCGGCGGGGAGGCGAGTCGGAGAGCCAGCGGGGCCAGGGCCGGAGCCGAGCCGGGGTCGGGGCAGCAGCGGGGACCCTCGGAGGCGGGGCCAGTGGGACTGCGATGGGCGTGGAGATCGAGACCATCTCCCCGGGAGACGGTACCGGGCGGCCGAGCTGGGGGAGGAGGAAGGGTCCCGGGGCGGAGCCGGGCGGGCGGGGGTCTGATTCAGAGGTGGCGCGGAGGGTGCTGAATCCGAGGCGGGCATAGGATGAGGGCGGTGAGAGGAGATCCCAGGAAGGATTGTTGGGAATCTAGCAGACGATCCTCCACCATCCCCTTCCGCGCCGGCTCACCTAGGGGAACGAAGGCGGCGGCCAGGAGGCGGGGGTCTGCGGCCCGCCACCGCCCCGGGGGCCTCGGGCCGCCGCTGCCTCGGCTGGAACCTCTCGGTTATCCGCTACTGCTGGTTTCCCAGGGCAGGCTTTTAGTTCTGCTTTCCCTGCCCTGCTAGGTGAGCTCTGGAAACAGCTGGAAGGGTTCTCTTCTGTTTGGGGCAACCCTTTCCAATGCGACCCCCTCCGGGCCTCCGGTCGGGCGGCCCCTGTGGGCTGGGCGGTGAGACGTTGTGGGGACCGAGCCAGTCTGGGAAGGAAGAAGCGCTCCCTCCGCCTCTGCATCTCGCTTTATCCTCCCCGCCCCACTCAGCCTCTCCAGCCATCCTGTACACTCCCATGGCTTTCATTACCGTCTGCAAACCGATGGCCTCCAAACTTAAGCCTCCAGCTCAGATCTCCGACCTGAGTTCAAGGCGGTTCATTTATCCAGCTGCTGCTCGACCTCTATCTGGATGTCCCACAGATACCTAATTCAGCAAGTCCAAAACAACTAACTCTCCTTGTCCTCCCCACTTCCAAGCGCTCCTCTGTATTGCCTTTTCCCTGTCCCCAGGACTGGCACCACTCACTCCCCCAAGCCAGACATCTCTTGTATAATTGGGTATGGATGTGCAAGGAATAGCCAGTTTTAAGTTTTTTAAATGAAACTTAATCCAGTCCAGAGTCCCCATGTCTGCAGGAGAATTTGACAGACAAATTTCACGTGAGACATAACTCACAACCCCCACCTTCTCTAGGAAATGAGAGGACCTCAGGGTTCCAGGCCACCCTCCTCGTTAAAAGGCAGTGATTCCTAGATCCTAGCCACTACCCTGATCACCCAGCAGGTACAGACTTCTTTGACCCAGCTGGGAACTATGGTTGCTGGGTCCCAGGAGGCATCTCCCTGACACCTTGTCACACCCCAGGGCACTGTCATTGATTTCTGCCAGGGGGCTGCAGGCCTCTTCTCCCTTCCTTGGTTCATAGTAGCTTTTAGAGTTATTTTGAGGGAGAGAGTGTGCACCCCCAGTGTGCACACACACCAGCTGAGGAGAGACAGAGAGACAGAGAATCCCAAGCAGGCTCCACGATGTTTGTGCAGAGCCAGATGCGAGGCTCCGTCTCAGAAACCCTGAGCTGAAATCGAGAGTTGGGCACTTAACCGACTGAGCCACCCAGGCACCCCGAGGGAGTTTAGATTTTTAGAGAAAGCCTGAAAGAGCTTTGGCCTTCTACTTTTAACAGTCTAAATTCTTTTTTTTTCTTAATTTTTTTTCAACGTTTTTATTTATTTTTGGGACAGAGAGAGACAGAGCATGAACGGGGGAGGGGCAGAGAGAGAGGGAGACACAGAATCGGAAACAGGCTCCAGGCTCTGAGCCATCAGCCCAGAGCCTGACGCGGGGCTCGAACTCACGGACCGCGAGATCGTGACCTGGCTGAAGCCGGACGCTTAACCGACTGCGCCACCCAGGCGCCCCATTAACAGTCTAAATTCTTGAGCCAGGAAAGCACAGAAGGGCCAAACTACTGTACTGTTACATTGGGGACACCGTCTTGGTCGAGCCCCACACCAAGTCCTTTCAAGTCCTTCTGCTGAAAATTTCTGGGTTCCATCCCTGTAGCCCCTGCCCTGGTTCAGGCCAACATCACCTCTCACTTGGATTTCCGCATATCCTCTAAACTGGGCTCACCACCTTCAGTCTCACCTCTCTGCTTTCCATCTGGCCTCCCTAACTCACCACCTATTTTTCACACCGTAGCCTGTGGACTCTTTAAAATGCATATGTGACTGTTCTGTGCCATTCTGCTCCTCACCCTCCCCACCCCCCGCTTCGTGTTTTAATGAATCTTCCATCTCCTTCTGCAGACAGATGGTGGTCCGGCCGAGTCTTACCTTCCACACCAGAGCCTCATCTCTTCCTACCAGTAGCAACCCCCACTACCACCATTTCCCCTAGCTTTAGCAGGCTGGCTGCAAATTTGTTAAACACGCCAGTCATTCTGCAAATATTTATTGAACGTGTACTATGTAGTTGGGGTTAGAGCGGTGAGCCAGACAGGGATCCCACTATGGCTCGATTCTAGGCCTTTGAACATGTTGTTCACTCTTCCCAGATTATCTCCCTTTACTTCCTCTGGCAAACTGCTTATCTTTCAAGACTCAGTTGAACCATGATCTCCTCTCAGATGCTTTCCCTGACTCCCATAGAGTCCTCTACATGTTGGCTCACTTGTTAGCTTCCCAAATGCTTTGTTACCCAGGCTTGTGGCCTGGTAAATTCCACCCAGATTTATAGCTCCAGTACAGATAACTCCATCTGCCTATTGCAACATAAGCTCAGATAGATGTCTAATAGGCATCTCAAAATTGCCAACTGCTCGGGGCGCCTGGGTGGCTCAGTCGGCTTCGGTTCAGGTCATGATCTTGCGGTTTGTGAGTTCAAGCCCCACGTTGGCTCTGTGCTGACAGCTCAGAGCCTGGAGCCTGCTTCTGCTTCCGTGTCTCCCTCTCTCTCTGCCTCTCCCCTGTTCACGCTCCGTCTCTTAATAATAAATAAATGTTAAAAAAATATATTTTTTTTAAATTGCCAACTGTTCAAATCTGCTCCTCCCCAGTCTTCCCCACCTGGAATTAGTTCCACTGTCCATCCAGTTCCCCAAACTGAAAACCCAAGTGTTGTACTCGATGTCTCCCTCTCCCTCATCCCAGACCCATCTCCACTCCATTAGTGTACCCTGTCAGTCCCGCTTCCCAAATATATCTATTTTGCTCTCTTCTCTGCTGCCACCACGTTAATTCAAGCCATAATTGATTTCCTGTCTGGATTATTGAAACAGGCACCTAATCGTCCATCCTACACACAGCAGTCAGAGTGATCTTATAAAATCTTAATTCAGATTATGTCATTCTCTTGCTTAAAACCCTCCAGTGGCTTCCTGTTGCACTTAGAATTAAATCCGGCTCTGCAATGCTGGGCATGATCTGGCTTTTTCCCACTTGCTTCCTTCTCCCTCTCTTCTTTCCAGTCACCAGGCCTCCTTTCTATTCTGCAAATGCTCCAGTCCTTTCCTGCCCCAATGTTTGTGCCCTTGGAGCTCCCTCTTCCTGCAGTGCTTTCCCCAGCATTTTGCTCATCCTTCAAGATTCAGTCCAAATGTCACCTTTTCTGAGAGGCCATCCTGAATCACCCTTTCTAAAATGGTCTGTCCATTGTATCTCTCTTTAACTCATCATTGTGTTTATTTCATTTAAAGAATTATCATAATCTAGAGTTGTCTTGTTTATTTGTGTATTGTTTTGTTTCCCCCCATTAGAATGTAAACTCCAAAGGAGTTGGGATCTTGTCTCTATGGTTTACTGCTGTGTCCCTGAAATCAGGCCCAGGCTTTGCATATAGTAGATACTCTGTAAATATTTGTGAATGATTGTGCTTATTAATCCTTGGTTGCAGTCATCATCCTCCATTGTAATCTATTATTTATGGATCTGTTTCCCTAACTTCACCATGAGTTCATAGGTTGCTCTGTGTTTCTGGAATCTAGTCCATAGTAGGCTGTCAGTAAATGTTTGTGGAATGGGGGCACCTGGGTGGCTCAGTCAGTTAAGTGTCCAACTCTTGGTTTTGGCTCAGGTCATGATCTCACAGTTCATGAGCTTGAGCCCCGTGTCGGGCTCTGTGCTGACGGCATGTAGCCTGCTTGGGATCCCCGCACTCTCTGCTCCTACCCCACTTATTCTCTCTGTCTCTCTCTCAAAATAAATAAATAAACTTAAAAAAAATGTTTGTGGAATGGATGAAGGAAAGTAAAAGGAATGATCAAAGAAAAGAAAATAATGGGGTGCCTGGGTGGCTCAGTTGGTTAAGCATCTGACTTCGGCTCAGGTTATGATCTTATGGCTCCTGCATTCAAGCCCCTAGTCGGACTCTGTGCTGACAGCTCAGAGCCTGGAGCCTGCTTTGGATTCTATGTCTCCGTCTCTCTCTCTCTCTGCCCCACCCCTGCTTGCACTCTGTCTCTCTCTCTCTCTCAAAAATAAATAAACATTTTTTTAAAATTTTAAGAAAGGAAAATAGAAAGGAGAGAGCATAGTTGAGGAACCCAAGGGGATAAAGTTCAAATCAAATAAAAAGCCTCATACAAGGCACAGAGCCAGAACTAGAGCCGTGGGCATCTCCATGGTATGGAGGGGAATGTGGGTCAGAGCTCTGGGTCATAGTCACATCTGAATGTCCCAAGTGACTTTTTCCAATGCCCTATTCATGCATCTGCCCTCATGTCTCCTTGCAGGAAGGACATTCCCCAAGAAGGGACAGACGTGTGTGGTGCACTACACAGGTAGGCTTTGCTCCCTCAGCCTTCATCCAGACCTGCCCCTCCCAAGGGAGGTCTCTCCTCTGCTACTCCTCTCTAGAGGTATCTGCTCCCTAGATCAGGGCCAAAGCCCAAGGTAGCCAAGTCTCCCTGTGACCAGTTGTCCCCTACTTCTCGAGCCAGCCTTGTGGGCATGGGAAAGGGGGCTTGCAAGGTTACCCCTTCCCCATTTGTACCAGCAGGAGCCATCTGTGGAGCCAGCCTCTGATTGGGCCAGGCACCTCCATTCCCTTCCCTCTGTTGTGGGCAGGGTGGGGCCTGGCCCTCCTTGTTCTGTCTGATATTTAGAAATCCCTTCTTGAAGCTCTGAGAGCCCTGATCTTCCCTGCAGGCTCCCTTTTCCTCCTACAATATTATTAGAGAAGGGGAGGGTGACTTCCTCAGCATTTCCTTTCTTTTTTCAGAAATAGACTGTTCAATTCAGCGTGCTGTTATTGAGCACCTACTGTGTGCAAGATGCTGTGTGGGCACTGGGGACACAAAGGTGAAAAGGCAGGATTCCTTCCTTCTCTGGGGCTGTGGGGAGTGGCAGAGCCAAGTCATCCAGAGGCTCTGCTGCAGTGTGACAGCTGGGGCAACAGCAGTGCCTGTCTCAGGGCACTGTGGGACTTGCAGGAGAGCCCCACATCTCTGCGGACCCCTCTTGGATGCTCTGTATTGGAAGGTCAGGTGGGCTGAGGAACATTCTAGATGGAGCTCCTGAGGACTGCTGGCAGGAAGATCACAAGCAGGTATTTGTTCCAAGAGAAGTGAATGCTCTGCCTTGTGACCTGCTTCCCGATGTGGCAAAGTTGGTGACAGCCACTTAGCAGACGGCAAGGCCAGTTTAATTCCTAGGACGTATTCAGATGGGGACATTTTTAGCAGTTCTCTGGGCCAGTGTGAAGTGCCAGGTTAATTCTAGGCAGACGGTGTGGGTATTTCTCAACAGCTGTGTTGCCGGTGGCTGGCGTCAGTGAGCTAGAGCTGTGTGTTATCTCCCTGTGACTGGCCTAATTACCATGAGTCCCCTGGGGCCTCTGACCTGTGTAATTGATTTATCTGTTCTACATGTTGTAGACAGACCAGTGCTTATCAAGTTACTAAAACCACAACATCCTTTTGCAAAGACTTTTCGGAGTAGATACAGGGAGCAGGCCATGTGCATTAAACACTAGCATCAGCCAAGAGTGTGGGGAGGGACCGTCTCATCAAACCCAGCAGGAGATTATAGGGGACTTTTTGGTAAACTTTTTAATTAAAAATAAATACAGCAGAGAACATAAATCTAAGATGTACAGCTCAATGGAATTTTTCAAAGTGATCACACTTACATAACCACCACCCAGATCAACATGTACATTTCCAGCACCCCCTGGCATCTCCCTCCTGCCTCCTCCCAGTCATTACACCTCCCTGAAGGTAACCAGCATTCATACTTTTGTCCCCATCGATTGGCTAGGCCTGTTATTGAATACCATATAAATGGAATCACAGAGTATGTACTCTTTTGTGTTTGGCTTATTTCACTCAATACTATGTCTGTGAGATTTGTCCACAGTCATTGGTTCTTTTTTATTCCCATACAGTTCATCGTATGAATGTACCATAATTTATCTTTTCTAGAATTGATGAACACTTGGGTTTCTGATCGTTTTTGGCTGTTATGAATACTGTTGCTTTGAACAGTCTTGTAGGTGTCTTTTGGTGCACGTATGTACACATTTTGTTTAGGTATATACCCTGAAGTGGAGTTATTTGGGCATAGGGTTGTACCTATCCTCTGCTTTAACAGATACTGCCAAACAGCTTCTCAAAGTAGTTGTGCCAATTTCCACTGCCACCAGCCATGTAGGAAGGCTCCAGTTCCTCTGCATCCTCATCGACACATGGCATTATCACATTTTTGTTTTGTTTTTGGCCCCCTTGGGTGGGTGCCCAGTGTGTCTCATTGTGGTTTTGATTTGCATTGCCCTGATGACTAATGAAGTTGAGTACCTTTTCATGTGCTTACTGGCCATTCGAATATCCTCTTTAGTCTGCTCGAGTTTTGTCCAGTTATAAAAATTAGGTTGGATGCCTTTTACTTATTGATTTAAAGGAGTTTTTTACATATTCTGGATATGAGTCTTTTGTTGGTTATACTGATTCCAGTCACCTCCCATGCCAAGGCTTGTCTTTTCACTCTCTCAATGGCATTTTTTGAATAGAAGTTCTTAATTTTAATGAAGTCCTACGTATCAATCTTTTCCTTTATAGTTAGTACTTCTGTGTTCAGCTCAGAAGTCTTTGTCTATTCCTAGGTCATGAGGATATTCTTCTGTTTATTATCTTATAGAAGCCTTATTATTTTATTTTTCATACTTACATCTGTGATTTATCTGGAATTTTTTTGTGTGTGCATAAAGTAGGGCTCAAGGTTAATTTTCTCCATATGATATATAGTTGGTCCAGCAACAGCAATTTAAAAAAATATATCCTTTATCTGTTGCATTGCTGTGACACCTTTGTCAAATCAAGTAACCGTATAGATGTTGGTCTGTTTCTAGGCTGAATTGTTTTGGCTGAACTTGTAGCTGTAGATAACTGTATCTGGTCTGGAGTATATGAAATCTGAAGAAATTGGGGAATGAGGAAGTCAATTATCAAATGGAGTGTGTGTGTGTGTGTGTGTGTGTGTGTGTGTGTATCCATATGTGTATATGTCCAAGTATATGTCTGTGTAATTATATGTAGATTTGTGGATCTAAATATTTTCTTAGCATCTGTTTGAGCATCAGGGTTTTTCTTCTGAATGTGTGTGCTTAGGTGCCCATGAGCACATGTGAACATCTCTGTGTATTGGAGTATCTTAGCAACCTGTGTGTATGCATGAGTTTTTGTAAGACCTCCTTAGTAAAGGGTTTTCTCCTTCGCCTGATTTAATACCCAGGGCAAGAGTCCAATTTATTCTACCTAGAAAGTAGGAAAATAATACTCTCCCTTGTATATATTTAAATTGTAGGAATTAGAAGAAGTGGAATCATGGATGCGCAGCCATTAAGCTTGTTCAGACCACCCATGTTAAACATGGCATATCTGAAGCCATGAGAAAGGCAGTGATTTGTCTAACTTCACACAATGAGTTAGTGCCAAAATGAAGTCAGTATCCAGTCTCTGAACTCACAGGCCAAATCTTTCTCTGGTCCCAAATTGGCTTTTGTCATGGTCTGTGGGCTGCAGGAAGAAATCGTGGAAGAGCATTGTTTACAGGCCTGACCTTTGAACTAGTCACCGATAAGAACTAAAAATACCAAAACAGCTCTTGAGGGACACCTGACTGGCTCAGTTGGTGGAGCATGTGGCTCTTGACCGCAGGATTGTGAGCTCAAACCTCACATTGGGTCCAGAGATTGCTTAAACAAATAAACTTTAAAAAGAGAGAAAGATACAGTTCTCGAGCCTTAGACAGCTGGAATGAGACAATATTTGTACATCAGGGATGACGCCTGGATAAGGGAGGCTGCAGACTGTTGGAGACAGCACTGGGGTGTTCCAGATTCAAACAGGCCCTTTTTATGGGGTGTGGGGGCCACCATTGACTGGCTGGGTCACCTTACTCTGTTCATTGCAGGGGGGGCGGGGATGATGTAGCCTTTGTTTTTTTGTTTTGTTTTGTTTTTTATGAGCAGGGGAGAGGGGCAAAGGGAGAGAGAGAATCTTTTATTTTTTTAAGTTTATTTATTTATTATTTCTGAGAGGGAGAGAGAATGCACACAAGTGAGGGAGGGACAGAAGGAGAGAGGGAGACACAGAATCCAAAGCAGGCTCCAGGCTCTGAGCTGTCAGCACAGAGCCCAACACAGGGCGAGACCATGACCTGAGCCAAAGTCCAACGCTTACCAACTGACTGAGCCACCCACGCGCCGATGATGTGGCCTTTGGGTTTTGCATGTTGGGGGAAAACAGGTGAGGACTCAACCTGAGGCAGAAACATCCTTAGGCTGAGGAAGTAGCACAGAAAAAAGTTGTAAAGTGCAGAGGTATTTGAGAAAGGCATATTTGAGAGGTATTTGGGAAAGGTATTTGAGAAAGGTGTGACCTGAATAAGACATGGGGGGAAGGAAAGGAAGAGGAGAGCAGAGAGAGGGTTATCAGACAGGCAGTAGCTAGATCTTGAAGTGCCTGTGCACAGTGTAGGCATTTGGATTCTGCCACAGGGAGCTATTGACAAAAGGATATTGCTATCCCTATAAGCAAGAGAGAAATATGATCAGATACATGTTTATGAAAGACCGTCATTCTGGGTACCGAGTGGAGACTGGAAAGGAGGAGTGAGAGTGGAGAGAAAGACCAGTTAGAGGGTGTTCCTGTGCACAAGTGAGACATGATGGTGACTTGGTGTGGTCCCAGGGTGGTGGCAATAGAAATGGAGTGTGTAGAACGTAGATAGTTTGCAAAGACATGTAGGACTAAGTGATAGGCCATATTGAGGGAGTGGGTAAGGCAGAGTGAGGTATCTGGGTTTCTTGCTTGGACAACAGGACGGGCAGGGAGATCTGAAGAGGCGCAGGTTTGTACAGAATAGGAATTCCGTTTTAGACATGTGGACCCAGAATGGGGTGTTAACTCATGGCCACAGCTCTTCTCCACCCTATTCTTGCTTTCACAGGAATGCTCCAAAATGGGAAGAAATTTGATTCATCCAGAGACAGAAACAAACCTTTCAAGTTCAGAATTGGCAAACAGGAAGTCATCAAGGGTTTTGAAGAGGGTGCAGCCCAGGTAGGATGAGGATCCTCATTAGGGGGGATTTGAGGAGTTGGAGTCTGGGCTCGGTACACCGCCCCTGCCCTATCACAGACCGCCACTGCTTTGACTCTACTGCTACGGCATGGTGACGCCATCTAGGTTCAGCCCCTGGCTTTGTGACCCCACTCCTTCCCTTTCATTGCCAGCATGACTTTAAGTCGCTGGGGCTCTCATTCCAAGCACATTCCTGTGGGCTTGCTCAGAACTAGCTACGAGCTACCAGCTGTCTGGGACTGAGGCAGCTAGAGAGTTGGGGGGCGGGGAGGGGGGTGGTGGGCCAAGGTATTTTTTTTTTAACTTAAAAAAGTAATTTCCGACCTTGCAAAAATATCACGGAAATAGTTCCCATATATTCTTTACCCAAATGTTAACAGTTTACATAACCATGGTAAAACGATCCCATTACATTAATTTGTGATCAATTACACATTAACATTGATGTAGTACTGTTAACCAATACATTCAAATGTTTGAGTTGGTTATTAAAATTTTTAGATCTGTTTATTCAAATTTCACCATTTGTCCGACCAATGCCAGACGTTCTTGATGACTGCTGTGTGGAGCCCTGGTTCACACTCTTCTCCCTTGGTCTGTGAAGTCATATGGTGCTTTTAGTGTAGGTCTCTTAGCCCTCGCCTCCTTGCGGTGGCCTCTGATTGCTTAACGTCTTTAATGGACTGCTTCTCTTACCTCCTCGATTGTGTACTTGTACATGTGCTGTTTATACACCCTCTTTAGGTTCTTTGGGAAGGGGGTGAGGAACAATTAGGAATACCTTGAAGTGTTTAGGCCATGAGCTAAATGAGTAACCAGCAGTGGTTGTCAGATGAATGAATTTGGGACTACTTTGTGGAAGTTAGTGCCCCACAGTGAAGTCTCTGCTAGTCTGAGACAGAATCCAAATTCTGCATCACTTCAGTGTGCCACACAGAAAATTCATCTCAGATCTTCAGAGTCATCAGGAGGATAGTTTGGGAAAATGCCATAGTTATCTTACTTTTTTCTTTTAAATCAAGCTGGGTCCTCTTTCTCCTCTCCCCATCTGCCCCCATCCCTGCTAGATGAGCTTGGGGCAGAGGGCGAAGCTGACCTGCACCCCCGATGTGGCGTATGGAGCCACGGGCCACCCTGGTGTCATCCCTCCCAATGCCACCCTCATCTTTGACGTGGAGCTGCTCAACTTAGAGTGAAGGCGGGAAGGAGCTCGAAGTGGCTGGAGATGGCTGCTGCCCACCCTCCTAGCCTGCTCTGCCACTGGGACGGCTCCTCCTGCTTGGGGCTCTTGATCAGCGCGCTAACCTCACTGCCCCGCGGCATTATCCATTCTCTGCCCAAGTTGCTCTGTATGTGTTCGTCATTGTTCACGCGCATCTTTGCTTAAGGAAACTTCGGTTGCAAATCAAAACATTTCAGGTTGTGCATTTTGCGTGATGCATGCAGTAGCCATTTCTGATCGCAGAACACAGATTTCTTGTTCGCACAATCTACACTGCCTTACTTAAGCCAGACACACAAGGTGCTCAGACATGAAATGTACATGGTATACACAGAGGGACTTGAGCCAGTTACCTTTGCTGTTACTTTCTCACTTAGAAGTTCTGTTGGCTGCTGACTTACACAATGTCCTCTTTGGAAATGATATGTAAAATAAAGGCTCTGTGCTTGACAAATTCCTGTCCATCCTTATTGTAGGAAGGAAGTGCTTTAAGGAATGCATAAGCCAGTTGCCCTTGGGAAAGAGTGGAAAGGAGACTTCCAACTAGCCAGGAATGATAATAAACATAATAGCTATGATGTGAGTATTTGTACATGCCGGGCCTTGTTCTATATATATATATATTTTTTTTTTTTTAAATGTTTATTTATTTTCTGAGAGAGACAGAGACAGAATGCGAGTAGGTTAGGGGCAGAGAGAGAGGGAGACACAGAATCCAAAGCAGGCTCCAGGCTCTGAGCTGTCAGCACAGAGCCGGACGCGGGGCTCAAACTCCCGAGCTGTGAGATCATCACCTGAGCCGAAGTCGGACGCTCAACTGACTGAGCCACCCAGGTGCCCTGATATATTTTTAATACAGTTGTCACCAACCCTCTAAAAAGCCCTACAGGGTAAGTATTAACTTGCCACTCACCTCACGGGCTCAGAATTCTTCTCTGAATAACTAAAGGAATATATCGTGTTCAAACTGCTAGCAGTCCAGCATAGGATTTGAGCACTTTATGTGACCTTGCAACGTCTGTCTGTTTGGACTTAGAGGAGTTCCCGACCCAGATGGAAAAGAACACTCACTGTGCACCTGAACAAATGAAGGGTGTTTTAGGTCTTGGAGCCATACACTAACTCACACTGGGAAGTTACTTTTGAAAGGAATGTGTGATTCTGAGCTTGTTTTTGTATTTATTGCTTAGTTTCATCTAGATTTGCCCTCCTATTGGGGAATTACTTTGGAGTAGAATGTAGGATTCTGAACTTGTTTTCACATATACTGCTTATTTTCATCTGTATTTACTGTAACTTATGGAAATTCCCACTTATTGCTGGTGGGTTGTGTGTTTGTCAAAGGAGCCTGGGGCAATGTAGTTAGGAGATTTTTCTTTTGACACAGGTGAGGAAAGCTCTCAGCCATAGTCAGGGTTATTCTGTCAGGACTTAGAATTAAGATTGAGGAGAGGCTGAGAAGTTAGCAGTACTTATGGAGAAAATGAAGTGAGAAAGGGACTGCTTTACTTTTTTAAGTTTATTTATTTGTGAGAGAGAGAGAGAGAGAGAGACAGTGTGTGTGAGAGTGGGGCAGGCACAGCGAGAGAGGGAGGCAGATCTGAAGCAGGCTCTGTGCCAACAGCAGAGAGCCCGACATGGGGCTTGAACTCACAAACTGTGAGATCATGACCTGAGCGAAAGGCAGACACTTAACCAACTGAACCACTCAGGTTCCCTGGGGCTTCTTTGTTTTTAATCGCCCAGTCCCTGGACTCACTTCTGTTACAGGAGCAGACCAGCCAGAGGGTGCTGTACTCCTTCCTTTAGAGTATCTTTTTTCCTCACTTTCCTTGACGACACAAATGTCTGATAATTTCTCAGAACTTAGCCTTTGAGACATACTCATGTTTTCTGCTGTGACACCAGTAGAATAAAATTTAAAATGGCATCAAGGACCATTTCAGGTGTCCACTATGGAGTCGTATAAGGTCTCAGAGTATTCAGAGCCTAGGTGGTAATGAGAGACACCCACTAAGGGAACAAAAACAAACCAACCAATGCAAGTAACTACTGGCTAGCACCTGAAAAGGATACGTTAGGCTTTGCAGGCCTTGCTTTCCTGGCGCTCTTAAAAGATGATGCAGAAAATGATGAGACACCATGCTAATGAGTTTGGACATTGTCCTGTGAAAGCCACTGGAAGTTGTTCGGCAGGAGTGGTGATGAGATCCATGTCATACCAGTTATTTTCAAATTCTTTGTCAACACTTTATCTATTCATACAAAATCTTTCTCAGAAACTCAAAATTTAACCTGGGTAAACACAAAGCAGCTCTAGCACATATGTGCATGCACATACACGTGCAAGAACACAATCATCCCGTGTGCTTTTTTAAAATTTATTTTGAGACAGAGAAAGTGCATGTGCAGGGGACAGGCAGAGAGCAAGTGAGAGAATCCCAAGCAGGCTCCACGCTGTCAGCTCAGTCGGTTAAGCATCTGAGTTCTGCTCAGGTCATGATCTCATAGTTCGTGGGTTCAAGCCCCACATCAGGCTCTGGGCTGACAGAGCCTGGGATCAAATAAGAGGGGGAAATTTCAAGACAAAACACTGACATGTTTTACAAAAAGCTACAAGTTTATTCACATAACATATTCTAACAGGTATCAAAGTCTCAAGCAGGTTGTTTTGAATCTCAATTAAGAAATCACAACATTCAGTTTTAATTTAAAAACAAAAAAAGGGTGATGGTGGTTATTCATGGGTTTTAGTCCAAAATGAAAATGCAGAAAACGTTTATTTTGGTGGATCTGTGTTGATGCCGTATTTCTCCTTGAGAAGCTTCAACTGTTCTTCCTTCTTTTTTGTGTCCATCTTCTGAAATGCCTGAAAATGTGGTAAGCACCAAAGTTAACTTACTGACCTGTAGGTGAAATGAATTTCACCAATAGCACCAGCCAGAAAAGAACACACAGTACACTCTATCCGTCCACCCCACGGTACACTAATTCTTACATGGGCTCCCCGGGTGATGAGGACAGTGACTAGTACTTACCCTGTTGGCATTATAGTACAAAACCACCAGGTATCTGTTACAAACATTGAATCCCGAAAGGTGATCACATGCGTTTTTGGCATCAAAGATATCTTCATAGACCACATAAGCTGTTCCTCTGGTTTCAGGTGTGTTCCCCCTGCAGCGTGAAATCAGACTTAATTAAAATACACATTTACCCGAGTTAGGAAGGACAACAGGTCTGAGGTTGGTGTCGAGAATAACCTTTGAGAGAGAGAGAGAGACAGAGAGCAAGCAGGGAAGGGGCAGAGAGAGAGGGAGACACAGAACCCGAAGCAGGCTCCGGGCTGTCAGCACAGAGCCCCATGCGGGGCTTGAACCCTCGGGCCTCGAGATCGTGACCTGAGCTGTAGTCGGCAGCCCAACCGACTGAGCCACCCAGGTGCCCCCTGTAAATAAACTAATAAATACTGTGGGGAAAAAAATTAGCCGGAGCATTGATAGCTGAATAACAACTGTCTTTTAAACCACTAACCAGAGAAGATTAAGGATAGTAAGTGAAGTTTTAAGTATTTTGAGATCAACCTGAACACCATTAGAGAAAATAAACATTATAGATAGGTATGCTGGATAAGCCTACTATTTCTTGAATTGAGGTAATTTTTGTTTTGTTTTGAAGTAAAACAGCTACAGGTTGAACTTGCTCTGTCGGGACTACTGCTGCAGCTGCCAAAGAACCAGCTTGAAACTGCCACGGTCTTCCGTGTACACTGTTCCAGTCTTTCTTACTTCCCATACTAAGAACCAGTTCCCAGTCTCAAGCTGAAAAGTACCGTACTTAGGGGTGATGGCTCCTATTAGTCATCAAAGTCTAGAATGAGGTTTTTCTTAGCGTGCATTTACGCAGCAGAACGAAAACTTAAGTTATTTACTACAATTACCCCGTTACTAGTCCCTTGTTTCTAAAGATTTTGATTTTTTACCGCACTATTAGTTTCAATACTCCAAGACAAGCCCGTCTCCATGTTTCTGAGCAGTATTCTACTAAGGTTTACCAAATCCATAAAAATAAAACCTATTTTGTGTCTGTAGAGCGGGGTGGGGTTGGAGAGAAGCCCCTACCAAGATGGCAAAATTATGCTATCTAGGAAAACAGACAGCCATTAATCCTTTATGGCTGGGAAAGGATGTTTTCTAATGTCGCGTTAACGTGGTTTCTCCCGCTTAGAAGATTCACTCACTGCCTTTGTAAAATGCGGTAGTCAGCTCCCAGCTTTTCATACATACGTTAATAATGTATGCACTTTCATGCATTACACAGCCCTGTCTGGCTCGGGAGAAGGGCTCGGCTTTGGCAGAGACCAGAGGGAGGGCGTGTGCTTATGGCTGGGATTATCTGCCTGCCAGAGGAGAATGCTGGAAGGTCACTGGGAGTGGAAGCTGGACCTTGCTCATGGATTCGGAGCTGCTGCTTGTGTAAGTTTTCCTTGCCACCTCCTCTCTTCACCTCACCAGCTTCCTTCGGCGGGGAGGAAGGGAAGTGTGAAGAGCAACAAACTGCAGGCAGCAGATGGCCATGTGCTTGTCAGTGGGGGCAGTGGGCACAGGTCCCACTCAGCTTATGCTCCCAGTGTGATAAAGATGGACCCTTCCATCTGTGTTCTAGCCACCCAGTGCCAACTGTGGAATAAGGTTTAAGACTGTGGGCTGCCTCTCCGTCTGCCATAGTCCCTGCAGAGGGTCAAGAAAAGGTAGCAGGCCATGGGAAGGGGAGGTACCTCTTTAAATGTGACCTAGGATGTGGCTACAGTCTTGGGCCCCAGTCACAGTTTATGCTTCCTATAAAAGGGTTAGGAAGAGATACAGGGTGCTGGGGCGGTGGGAGGGTGCCGTTGTCACTGAATGCTTACGGGCTGTCAGGCTACAGAGGGATTTTGTAATAGTCCTTACTCTCTGGGGATAGTCTAACAACTTTTGGACCTCTTTAAGTTTTCTTTTTTTTAAGTTTATTTATTTTGAGAGAGAGAGAGAGAGAGAGAGACGAGAGAGAGAATCCTAAGCAGGCTCTGCACTGTCAGCGCAGAGTCTGATGTGGTGCTCAAACTCACACAAACTCACGCGAGATCAAGGCCTGAGCAGAAATCAAGAGTCAGAGGTTTAACCAACTGAGCCACCAGGGTGCCCCTGGACCTTTTAAAAACAAATTTCTTTGTTTATTTAAGTAATCTCTACAACCAACGTGCAGAATCACATGCTCTTCCTACTGAGCCAGACAGGTGCTCCAACTTTTCACTTTTAATTTTTTTTTTCAACGTTTATTTATTTTTGGGACAGAGAGAGACAGAGCATGAACGGGCGAGGGGCAGAGAGAGAGGGAGACACAGAATCGGAAACAGGCTCCAGGCTCTGAGCCATCAGTCCAGAGCCTGACGCGGGGCTCGAACTCATGGACCGT